AATCGGTGATGGCATTTCCGGAAGGAAAAGTGTTTTGCGATACGCTTACCCGTTGCGGATACCAACAGGCACAAGCCAGGCCGCTCACCTTTGGCATCACAACGCTCTATACCGCGATCAAGTGATTTTACCAAAATATTTATCAAACAGATAGCATGCTTTCGTAATTTAGTGATCACATTAAATGATAAAAAGCATGGCAAGGATACCAGTGAGTAAGAAAGTGCGGCAGCTCCGTTCCCTATCAGCTTTGTGGCAGCACAGACGGCAATTGTTGCGCATGTTCCGGGAGATGTATAAAGGCACTTACAAAGCATCGCTGCTGACTATGGTGGCGCTCGTTGCCGCTATCGCTTATGTAATCTGGCCGTTTGATATCATCCCGGATATTATCCCGATAGTAGGCTGGGTAGATGATGGCTTTATCATCTTCTTCCTCTTGAAGCGGCTCCTGACGGAGTTGCGGCGTTATGAGGCCGGCAGAAATCCTTTGAAATTAGTACGGCGTTAAAAAATAACTGGTAAATAAACATAGCGGCCTTGTTGGATAGCAATAACCATCAAGGCCGCTTTTTTCAATAAATACAAACGTTTTTTTGCATAGCCGTGTCTTGTAGAATGCTGCTGAATACTCAGCACATACTTATAGATGAAAGGAAAATTACTCATTCTTGTAAGTTGCCTGATTGCCAACGTCGCATTTGCAGTAGGTGATACAACAAAGGTTTTATTTATTGGCAACAGCTTTACGTTTGTGGAAGATGTGCCTGGATTGGTAAAAGGTCTTTCGGATAAGGCAGGTCACCCGTTCTCCTTTTTTATGCACGCGCCCGGTGGTATTTCAGTGGGCGATGTAGGTCAGGGAACGGATGCCCATATGAATAATCCAATCGTCTATGATGCTATCCGGGCCAGCAACTGGGACTTTGTAGTGATCCAGGATAACCAGGGAAGATTCGTGGACGGAGGCGGGATATTCCCCTCGCCCAACGCCAGCAAGGTGATCGAAGGGCATCTGAAATTGCGCGACT